TGTACATAATACGTCATCTCAGAAATATAGACAGCCTCGTATTTATTTGGTAATAGTAATAATAGGCGTTTCCCAACAAGGAAACATTTGACATTGAGCAGCCGGTACTGCTTTTAGTTAAGATTTATAAAATCTTTCTATTAAAACACTTTTAAAAGTAAAACAAGTTTCTTTTAAGTCCAGTAACTGTTATCGCTCTTTCCAGTATCGAAGAGGGTTTCATTCCGAGGCTTCTATTTAAAGTGGTTTTGAATGTTAACGTGTTGATTATGTAATTTTTTCTCATCGAGTTACATGTGCTATCCATTGTAGTTGCTGTTGAACGTTCTCTAGTGACGTGGTTTTTATTATTTAGTACAGTTCTTTGTTTGGGATTATGTAGCGCCAATCCACAATGTTTAAAGAAGGATGATCTTTGTCAAGCCTTTTTTCACCATTGATCTCAGGGAGTGACAGTATACAACTATCAGTTTAGATATTTCTTAACGGGTCTGACGTCATGCTTGGCATCCATATGAAAGTCTCGAATCTGATGAGACTATTTGAGAACCTGAATAGAGTTTTCAGGTTGATGTTTTGGTTTTGTAGCAATTGGCGGTATTGTGTGAAACTACCTCTGATACAGCCTATTCTATGTTCAATTTCTTTTTCTCCTATACTTAATTTCTTATAGCTGATCCATACTCGGAGGTCTCTGAAGTGTTTAGTATTTACTAATTCCACAACCTGTATTTTTATAATGGATTCAGAGTAGGTGCCATCATTGCTTTCATTTCAATTCCGGATCATAGTTTCTGTTTTGGAGTTATTTAATAAAGAGATTTATATTTTAGCGTAATGATTATCAACGCGGAGAGTGGAATTCTAGTCGGTTGCGTTTACAACACAAATGCTTTTCGGAAAGACACGAATCCATCTCTTCTTCCCCACCTACGGATTAAATAGCAGAGTAGCTTTCTAGCTCTAGAACTACTTCAGATTCAAAACCTTATCTTACACAAGAAGACATGGCAATTCAGATAATAAAGAAAAGGAAATTGTGAAGAGCCATGATCGCCTATGTCCTGAATGGATACGGTAGAGATGACAACGGGAAATCACTCCACTATCTTTCCCAAAAAGACATGGCAATTCGTAGATAATAAAGGAAATTGTGGAGAGCCATGATCGTCTACGTCCTGAATGGATATGGTGGAGATGACAACGGGAAATCACTATTATCTTTCACAAGAAGACATGGCAATTCACAGATAATAAAGAGACCGTAGATTGTCACGATCGCTGCCTCCTTACTGAAGGGACATAACATCAAAAGAAAGCCTTACATAAGTGTAGATATCCAGTAAAAGTTGAATTCACTAACAATCGTCAGTGGTGTTGTTTTTATTATTCCTCTATAATCGGCGCCTTAGGTTGCTTACACACAAAATTTAACAATTGTATGAAAGTCAACAAGGTTGCATTGTTTTATATTTTTGCACTTTGGCATTAAGGTGTATGAACAGCGATAACTGTATTGATATTACAATTCCTCAATACGTAGGTACACCACTCTAAAATATTATAATGGCAATTTAGTATTATCGCTATACAGAGACACTAATGCAAGTATAAAACAATATTTTTCTATGTGCTGTATCGCTTTACAAGGTTAGTATCATGACTTTCCACAACTTTTTATATTTGGTTGATGGAAGCATTGTTTTATTTTCCATTGACACAATCTCGTTGTCATCTTCTGTTTCATTTGCTTTCAGTATGTCTTATGTGTGTCAAAATTTCGAAGCCTTATTTATAGGACATATAATGAAGACATTATGTGACCTAGAATTTTCAACTGTCTCTTTTTGAATAACTGGGTTCTCTAGTTTTGGATAGGAACTAATCCCAGAGAGAGAAATCTTTGAATTCAAAGTGGAGAAGGCAACGGGAAACTACTCCACTGTCTTTCCCAAGAATTTATGGCAATTCACACATAGCGCAAAGGAGAGTCATGATCGTCGAGGTCCTGTAGTAAGGACATGGCATTTTTATATAATAAACTAACAAGGAACAGAACAAGACGACGAGTTCGCTTGTAGAGAGTTCAATCTTCCCCTGGGTGACCTCTATGCACCGCCCCCTCAACCCCCGGCCTACTCACTAGTAGAGAATTTGATCTTCGCTGGGTGACCCTCCATTGTGCCCCCCCACTCAAGCAGCTCACTCTGAAGAGAGTTATATCTTCGTTGACCCCCTCCACCGCACAGACTCGCTTTCAAAGTGGATGGAGCGAAATTCTGTTTCCTAGTTATAATTTCACAGATAATTTTAAGATCAAGAAAGTATATATATATATATATATATATATATATATATATATATGGCGATCGCTAAAGCGTGAAACCCAGGGTCACAAACTCACATCTATCCAACCAAATATGTTAGCTCTATCTCTGATATTGAGCGCTTTCTAATAAGTACCGCGCATATAATATATAAATAATTATACATATGTGTATACACACCCACATACATCTCATAATCAACCAGACAAAAATGTCGTGTATAATCTGCACTACCTTGAGCAGGGATTGAAATCACACTTATTACGTCAAGAAATTTGCAAACCAACGCTTTAATCGACAATCGGTTTGTTTTCTTTTTTCCTATCTTAGATAATTTGTATATTTTTTCTATAATGTTTCCTACATTGTAAACAGAAATCTATAACCACGTTTTTTTATATATAAAAAAAAATATTACGATTTTTTAACGTGGTTATTGTTGATGTTATGAACAATTCATATTTATTGTTTTATCTATTTCCTTACATTTTTTGTTCGGTTTGATCAAGTAACACAAATGAAGGAAGCATAAACCTTTCCTTTTTTATCTATATATAAATTTCTGTGACTTTTTAGTTAGAGTCCGTCTGTCCGTCAAACCCTCTAAAATAGCCATCATAAGAGAACTGATCGAAACCAAATTTTGGAGAGAATTTCAAACAGGTAAGGCGTAAGGGGGGGGGTACAAAGTATACTTATTTTTTATTAGAATGCCTAGCTTAGTACAATAGATTTTCATTCATTTTTTGAAAAATTAAAAGTTTCATTATTTAATATACAAAAAAATACTCTAAACAAAAAACAAAAACAATTTAATGATTAAAATATTAAATACCTATTTAATAAAAATTCATATATCGTTTAAAGTTTTTTTTTTTTTTTTTCATCAATTGTTTTGCGAAATTGAACGAAATGTAGTGTTTGTAAATTTCGGCAACAAAATGTTTAGCGATAACTTCAAAAATGCCGTGAAGATAGCAAAATATTCTAGTTTCTTAAACGTGTGTACGCACACATCTAGCGATCGACTGTAGCTTTTGGGAATTTAAAATTCAGACGGTATTGTTTTCAAGTTACATTAAATAAATAAAAAAAAGTATTATACAATATAAAAATATAAACAGTGAAGGCATAGCTAGGTAGCTTTTTTTTTTTAATCAATAATGAAACAAAAAAACAAACCTAAAAAAAGTGATATCATTAAAAATTCTGTCTCTAGCGAGGATTGAACTCGAAACAGCCAATCTGCTTACTCTCCACTAATTTTGTTTTGATGGTAAGCTTTCGGTTAGTCTCATTGTACGATTTCTTTTGTGTCATGCGTCTGTGTATTTCTTCCAGATGTCTAGTGGTGGCGGGTCAAGTGACAACAAGTTTTACTACGAACCCTTTCCCTAGTCAGAGTTCATGCAGATCCCCCATGCAGATTGGATAGTTTTTTTTACTCCTTATCAGTTCTTCTAGACACGATTTTTATACTAGACTTTATTATTTTTAATCGATATTTTTAAAATTAACTTTTTTTTTTTTTTTTTTTTTTTAAACGTTGTTCATTTTTTTTACAGTACTCAGTTTATTTTAAAAATGTTCTCATTAAAAAATTCAAATGCTCGGTTAAGTCACGTGTCTGGCACATGTTGCAATCACCCGTCTAAAAATACAGCTTTGGTAGTAAAACGGAGTTTTTACAATATGTATGGTTGAAATAAAAAAAAAAACGAAAAAAAAAAACAAAAACAAAAACACAAAAAAAAACAAACAAACCAAAAATCAAAACAAAAACAAGTAAATCATAATGAAACAAACTAAATTTGGTTTTTAGTCCAGCATAAGACGAAATCGAGTAATAAGTACAGTTTTCATATTACTATCGATTAAAAAAAAGTACTCCAGATTACATACAATATCTAAAAAAAATAAAAATAAAATAAAAAATTTACAATGAATTAACATTTTCAACTGGTAAAACTGGACACCTATTCATTTTTACAAAATTAAAAAGAAAAATGGATATTCGTTATCTAGAGTGCTTAATTTACAATATAATATGAATAATGAAAATATTATATTATAATATAATATGAATATATGAAAATAACTTTTGGAAAAAAGTAATGATTATTTCTGGTCGCCTATTGTAAAATTCCACCGAAGTCTGTCTTGCTCCAATCTACCAATATCGGAATACCTACATAATTTGAAGAATAAAACCAAAGACACTGTTCGAATACAGTAAAAATAAAATAAATAAAAATAAATTTTTTTTTTTTTTTTTTACTGTATTCGAACAGTGTCTTCGGTTCATCGATGGCAAATATCAACTCCGAAGCGAATCATAAGTGGAAAAGTCTACTTTAGTTCACAATAAATTTAGAGATGATCAAAAAAAGGAAATGAGAGTAGGAAGATGGTGTTGCGCCAGAATTCGAAGAAATCTCTTTCGAATGAGAGAGAAGAAAGAAACACTATTCGAAATATAGTCCTTGTCGATCGAAATTCCCCTTCTAACCACTGGTGACGCCGAGAAATACACACTTCACCCACGAGGAGGCAGGTCACTTGCAATTGTTGCCTTTAAAATATATATAAATTTAAATTCTCATCCCGGAATTTTTAAAAAGAAATGTTTGTTTGGTGTGAGTAAAAGAAAATATCCAAAGAAATATGACTTACCTTCAGTTGTACTGTGTGTGTAAAACTTTTGGGTCCATGAAGATTTCTGGACGTGGTAGCTTTCGTTTTTTTTTTGTTTTTTTTTGGGGGGGTGAGTCTTGTTAGATTTTCATTCCTTTCGCGGACTCAACTGTTACATGATATGAAGTTTTATGTTGATTGGCGAAAGCGTATTGACAATTATAGATAATTAGCGAAATTTGACAATCATTTCTTCAGCTTCAAGCGAAACTAGGTTGGTTATTTTTTTTTTTTCCTTTTTTTTTGTTTTTGGCGGATAAGTTGGTCTTCTATGCAAGGCGTGAAACGAAAAGTAGTATGTATTTTAATAAATATCCTTTTTGAAACCAAAATAAATATGGAAAAAAAAAAAAAAAAACATTGCTATAAGTTTTATTTACAGGACCATTCTGAAGACAAAGGAAAAACTGCAAATATAAATCAAAATGATTTCTCACTCCTGCTACAAAAAACAAAAAAAACCTTGCACATAGGGTCACGTTTATATTTTTACCGCTATTTATGTCCCCAAGAAAAAATATCTATGAGAAAAAAAAAAAAAAAAAATTCAGTGAAAACACAACACAAAACCAGAATATTTTATTTTTGTGAGTAGAAAATGTTGTTTTTAATCTTTAATGACTAGAATTTTTTTGCAACTTGCTAACGCGTTTAAAAATTCTCAGTGTTTATTTATGGCTGTTTAAATATTGTTTTTAAAACAATTATGTAATAAAACTTTCGATTTTATCCAAAATTATTAATGAAAATTTATTGTACTAAACTAGGCACTCGTAAAAGAAAACCAACCTGTTCGCACTTCTCCCCAAAATTTGGTTTCGATCAGTCAGTGTATATAGTTATTTTTTAGAGGGACTAACTTAAGGACGAACTAAGGAAAACATTTTCGGTATTCACCTGAGACATCCCCGCAACGACGGGATATGGTGCAAGGCGTGGGGCTCGGACAAAATCTGCCCGTAAAACCCCGTATACACGGGATCGGGTAGCTGTCTACCTTCCTAGACGCCATAGTCTCATTTGGGTTCCTCTCCACCAGGAGAGCAAAGAGTCGACAAGCAGAATTAACTATAATCGTTAACTGCAAGAAAGTCACAAAAATTTTTCAGGGTGATTAAAAAATAACTCGTTATTTTATACATGATGGACTTCTCTCTTGTAACAATAATTTTAAAATTTTACAAGATGAGCGAGTCCATCATACATGAAATAGGGAGTTGTTACTTTTCAATCACCTTGTAGATCTCTTAATGATCATAGCTCTCTCCCGGGTTCATTGTTTTTATTTTTATTTTATCTGCGGCTTTGCCATAACTTCTTGGAGGGCACCTCGAGGTGGTGTAATGGTTAACAAGCTTGTCTTGTTAGAACAATTACGACTGAGTAGTGAGTTCGATCCTCACTGGGTGCCCCCATACTTTCGGCCTTGTGCCACATCCGAGCTACGCTTGGAAAATCGCCATAACTTCTTGGAAAACACAGCGGAGTGCTTCCCCGTTGGCTTCTCCGCGGTTTTAAATTCAGAGTAGAAAGTCATTACCGATTACTGGTCTCGCCACAATCTAAACCTAAAATAGCGTGATTGGGTACTTCGACGAGGTGTAACGGTCAACAAGCTTGTCTCTCTAGATCAATTACAACTGAATAGTGAGTTCGATCCTCACTGAATGACCCATACTTTTAGCCTTGTGCCACATGTAAGCTACGCTTAGAAAATCACCATAGGATCGTGATTAAGTGGTCGCCTACTTTAGAGTGAGAAAACATAGCTCGTAAACAGATTTGTTTGTCTAGTGAATTCGATACTTACTGGGTGCTTCATGTTTATAGCCTTTAGTCAACCTAGCTAGGCTATCAGTAATGCATTTATTGGTCCCCAGTCTGGATTTGGGGTTGGGGTTTTGTGGGTATTTGGTGGGTATTTGGGGTATTTGGTGGGTATTTGGGGTATTTGGTGGGTATTTGGGGTATTTGGGGGGTATTTAAAAAAATCTCTTTGAAAGCAGGAACTCGTTAGCTTCAAATAGAACATATTTAGTTAACCAAGAGGTACAGAACCAAAGTAAACCCTGATATCTGTGCCATCAGTCCTTCGGTAATTTTTGCCCCCCACACTTCCTGATATCTGTGTCATCAACCTCTCGATTATTTTGCCCCCTCCACTTCCCAAAAATCTGTGTCATCAACCTCTCGATTATTTTTGCCCCCCCCCACTCCTGATATCTGTGCCATCAATCCTTCGGTAATTTTTGCCCCACTCCACTTTCTGATATCTATGTCATCAACCTCTCGATTATTTTGGCCCCCTCCTAATATGTGTGTCATCAATTTCTCGATAATTTTTGCTCCTTCCTAATATCTGTGTTATCAATCTCTCGCTAATTTTTGCCCCCCTTTTGATATCTGTGTCCTCAATCTTTCGATAATTTTTGCCCCACTCCTGATATCTGTGTCCTCAATCTCTCGGTAATATTTGCCCCCCTCCAACAATTATGGCATCTTCTTTTGGTTAGTTCTTAGTAAAAACTAATGCCCATAAGAAAAATGGCGAATTTTCTTTTTCTCAATTAAAAACAATTCTAAAATTTCTTGCACTTCTCACTTGTGGAACTCTCTCCCGGCTCCATGCCTCCCAGCCAACTTTAATCAGCAAGCATTTAAATGCAATGTCAATCGTTATCGATTGTCCTCCTGATTGCTCCTTTCTCTTTCTACCCATTGCTAATCTTTCTGTTTCTTTGCCTTTTATGTGCCGTATCTGTTCAAGACGTGGGCAAGCATGGTTTCGTAGCAATGTTTGTCTTTGCACTAACATTCCCACCCTCTGATCTGCCATCCATTTACACAAGTTCGTTGGGCGGGTTACTCGACATTTCCCTTCGTCACTCTTGACTTTCAACATTTCCTGTGAGTGTCAAATTTTCCAAGCTCTCTTTCCTCGTTATATGTGTCCTAAAAATTTTAACTATCCCTTTCTGATTCTAAGTGTCATTTTTTTGTTTCCATTCTACTCACATGTTCAGTACATGGTAGTTTCAGCATCCTTCTGTAGAACCCCATCTCTGTTGCCTAGACTCTTTTCTTCATCTGTCCGGTGTTTACTATCATATAGGAGGACTCATATTACATAGCAGTTCAACGAGTTCTTAAGAAAGCCATTTCAATGTTTACTAGTGTTTGGCTTTTAAATGTTGTCCAATAGGTTATTTGTAACTCAGTTTGGGCGTAGTGATCGATTCCTTTTTTGATGGAGGTTTTTTTTTTTTTCAAAATATATCTGACGCGTTCGGCGGAGGAGGGGCGTATTCAGCAAAAAATCTAAAATTGTTTTTTTCACTTCAAATTATTCATTATATCATATGCAAGTATATTACAAAAAATTAGAGCTGATTGCATAATATTTCAAGCTCAATTTAGGTTTATAGTCCGTAACCATACAATGAGATGAGGTAACATAAACCGTAGATTTGTCTGTGGAATATCATTACAATATTGTTACATAATTATAGTGAAATCATTAAGGGTTTTTTTTGTGAGAAGCAATTTATTTTTGGTCGCAAATCAATTTAAAATATTCCTTTTTACAAGGTTTATTTTTGAAATGGAATAAGATCATTCTAAATTTCAGAATTTCGCTATTGTCCATCAAAATGACTGGAAGAAAGCGATCTAAAAACAACAATGGAAAAGAGAGGTAACAAAGCGGAAACGAAATAGCTCCATTTTGTTCAACTTAGGAAACTTGGCATTGCAGCCAAAGTATTTTAAAATGCTGCCAATAACAAAGGAGAAAATGAAAAATACCGAACAACAAATCGAATATAGCATCAAAATTTATATTATTTTTATTTATTTGTTATGTAACTAAATACATAATTGTCCATAGTGTTTCCATAAAACATGATATTTCCTGTAATAAATTCTTAACATATATTATTATTATTATTATTATTTTTTTTTTTTTTACTTAAGTGTAAGGTGACTACATTTACAATTCCTTACTAACTATGAAAAGAAATGTTGACAAAACTGTCTAAAACCTTTAAGCGTGTATTGCCGCAAAAATATTAAATGTTGAATACGCCCCTTCACCGCCGGACGCTTCATATAATTGTGCCGGACATTAAAACGTACAATTGTATAATTTCCAAAATGATAATTTTATATGAGTATACTTTTCATTTCAATTTAATAAATATATATTTTACCAACAGCGAGAGAAAAAAAATCAGCACGCAATTGAAAATCTGTGTAAAGTGACTTTGTCTTCTTTGTAAATTTATCTTTTGCACGGTTGCACATTTACTTACGAAAACGAAAATCAACCACGCAAACCTCTAATCATGAAAATAGAGTAACTAACGAAATAAGCTTAATATATAAATTGCCACTACTTAGGAAAAGTTTAATCAAGTAGAGACTGACGAAACGTTTTGATCTATATTACAAATTATTTACTTCAAACTTTTGACAGACTTCTTTTGGCAAAACTGCAAGAACTAATCAACTAAAAGTGGATCATATGCATTATATGTGGAGGTACGGTAGGGTAATGGATAGCAGCCTGGATTGAGGAATCGAAGAGCTGAGTTCGAATTTCAGTCAAGTTAATTACATACAGTGACGTGTTAATATACTTTTGAAAAGTATGAATCCATTTCTTCGCCCCACCCTCACCCCCACCAGGTCTAATTAATATATACTGTTTAGTTTAATAAATAAGTGATCAGTTAATTTACTAAACAGTATATATTAATTAGACCTGGGCGAGAGAAGATTTGAATTTAGATTTTTATTTTATTTCATCATTATTATTATTATTATAATGCGTATATATATATATATATATATATATATATATATATTTCATTTTTCGTTTCATTTTTTGGAAGTGCTATCTGATGATCCGGCGTCCTTTCAAAGAGCTCTGGTGAAATAAATTATTATAATGGAACCTTAAAGTGGTCTGTTTTTCTTTAATATATATATATATATATATATATATATATATTGAATTTAGATTTTATTTTATTTTATTTTATATATATAAAATCCGTGGGTCAGTAATGCAAGTCAATTCTATTAAAATAAAATATTCAATGGCATGTTAATATACTTTTGAAAAGTATGAATTCACCTCTCCGCCCAGGTCTAATTAATATATATTGTTTAATAAATAAACGGACCGTTTATTTACTAAACAGTATATAATATATATATATATATATATATATATTTGAATTTGGATTTTATTTCATCTTATATATATAAAATCCGTGGGTAAGTAATGCAAGTAAATCCTATTAATATAAAATATTAAAACTGATCCACAAAAGAGAGCTCAATAAATTTATTTTAGAGCATAGAAATGAATTTCATAAAAATGAAACTCAATTGTACCACATTATTATGGCCATTTCGCTCGTCGGGATAAATTCCCTGGAGCTTGTCAACACTAAAACGTTTGATTAAAAAATGAATCGTAACGCTTTTGTTTTTTTTTTTAAATTTAAAATTAAAAAAAAATCAAAAACTCTTCCTTTTCTTAACTTTAATGATTGTATTTTCTTATGTATTTTTTTTGCAATTTTAATTTTTCCTATTTGAACAAGAATTAACATTTTAAATATAGACTAACCGTTTTTAACTTCTGTCTAGACTTGTATATGTTTCTGGCTTCCTGTTTCCCACCCTCTACTTGGTTGTTTTTCTTTTTTTCTATCTCCCTTTTTAATGCCTTTCCCTTATTTGTTGTTTGTTTCTCTGTTTTCCTCTCTCTCTTTTTTCCTTCTTTTTTCTATCCTTTTTTTTTAAAATTTTAAATCTTAAAGGATTTCGAATGCTAATTTTCAAGATAGGCATCTCTTCACCCCCAGCTATGTGTTAAATAGAATGGTAATAATGAAATATAAAGAGAACTCTGAATTTCAAGTCGTAGAGAAGGCAACAGGAA